TCCGAACCACCCCATTCCCCCGAACAGAAACGCTAACCCCCCCCAAATTAAGTAAAACACAAGAAAAAACCTCATGGGACCTCGCGTATGCCTTAAGCGTACCTATCCGGTTCACACCAAATGTCACATTTCTGCTAAATATCATCTGCATAGCACTGCGCCCACCGCAACTGATCACGCCCTTCGACAAGCTCAAACTCCCTGCTGAATGAATGGTCGCGCAAGTCGTAAAGCCCATAAATTTACTCGACATTCACGATTAACTAGCAATAGCCTGTGTTCTTCTACTTGTAGCTGCCATGGCTCGCCAGCGACGCCACCGCTCTCAGATTACTCTCAGCATCAAGCGCGCCATCTGTGCCAAGCAAGAGGCACATCCGCATTTGCGTCACGAGGACATTGCACGCTGGTGCTTCACTCGTTATGGCATTCGGCCTCACCGTACCACGGTGACCAAGATACTCAGCGAGGATTCTCGTTGGAGCTCGTCCAGCAGCGAAGATGCTGACAGCATGCGGGTTCGTGGTGGCGCTCACCCAGACTTGGAGCTTGAGCTGAAGAAATTTGTCGACCAGGCCAATAAGGCAGGTGTGCCGCTCATGCTTGAGACTATTGTCAGAATCCCAACCACTAGACCATTGGGATAAAAGGGCTTGTTAAGTAGCGGGTCAATGCGCCCATAACCCCCCAGGACAACGAGCCTGTAACCCTTCCCTAGGATCAATCGGGGATCACCAGTGGACCTCTGACACCCCCCCGCACTGGGATGCCCGAAGTGCATACACCGGAATTCGAACCCGAGACCGCTCTGATACCATGTCAGAATCCCAACCACTAGACCATTGGGATAAAAGGGCTTTTTAAGTAGCGGGTCAGTGCGCCCATAACCCCCCAGGACAACGAGCCTGTAACCCTTCCCTAGGATCAATCGGGGATCACCAGTGGACCTCTGAGAACTATCCGTGACCACGCCAAGCTTGTTGCCCGCGAGCTGGGGAAGCCGCCAAGCTTTCGGTGTTCGACCGGATGGGTACGGCGAGCCATGAAGTGTCTGGGCATCCGGTGCTTCGCTCTTTCTGGTGAGGCAGCAGAGGCAGACATGCATGCCGTGAGAACGTGCCGGGAGCAAATGCCAAAGCTGTTGCTCCATCTGGCGGTCCCTCCGCGCAACGTGCTCAACTTCGACGAGACGGGAGTCTACGTCTCTGCCCTGCCGAGGAGGACATATGGCCGTGCTCGCGTCGCCGGTCGTAAAATCGCGAAGGATCGGCTCACGGTCGGATTTTTCTGCAACGCTGACGGCAGCACATTCTGGCGTCCCCTGATCATTTCCAAATCGAAGCGCCCTGTCGATTTTCGCCCCGATTACGACCCTGAGCCATATTGCTACTGGCGCTCCAACAGGAAAGGTTGGATGACCAAGGAGGTACGAAGAAACACTGTAATTGAATACTTGGTTGTTGCGTTTCTTGCTTCTTCATTCTCCCGGTCACAACTCCCTGTGAGAAACTGTAACTTGGCTGTTACCCCGCCCCCTTCGCGATGCAGTTGTTCACGCACTTCATTGAGAAACTGAACGCGGCTATGTATGCTGAGGGTCGCGACGTGGTCATCTTGCTTGATAACGCCAGCAGCCACACGTTGCTCACCGAGACGGCCGGGACGGAGGACCTTTTTGGCTTCCGCACACGCACGTTGAGCAACGTGCGTTTGGTGTACCTTCCACCGAACACCACGTGCTTCACGCAGCCCCTTGATCAGGGGATCATCAAGAAGGCGAAGACCACGTACAAGAAGCTGTGGCTCATGGACCTTACAAGGCAGTGGGAGGAGGACCGTCGCCGGGCGTCACTTGCGCGTTACAAGCCGAACATGCGTGACGTCGTGGAGTGGATATACGACTCATGGATGAACGTCGGAGCCAGGACGGTGCAGCTCTGCTGGTGGAACACGGGCTGCCTCCCAAATGCGTGGGAGATGCAGCTCGAATACGTCTATGCACGGCATAACGAGGCTCCTGAAGAAGCGGATGAATCGCGCGAGGATGAGCTGCAGGGTGTCGGGCGTCTCATCACTGGCCTTTCTCTGGGGTGCGCCGCCATCGCCGCCGAGGAGTATGTCGCAGCGGACGACAGCCTGCCTACGTGCGACATGGGCGGGCCCGATCCCCTCTCGTCGGAGCCTGCAGAACCTCCAACCAGGGAGGAGTGGGAGTTCCCACTGCCAGCGGCGGCCGCCTTTGATGGTGACATGAACAGCCGCGATTCACGCCGTACAGCTCGTGCGGCGTGCGAAATGCTCATCGGCTACGCGCGGTCCATCAATGTCGCCCCGCGTGATCTCACGGTCCTCTTTGACATCCGCAACCCGGCTGTCCGCGAGCGGCTCGAGCGGGCCAGCCCGGTGTTGAACCTCAACGAGCAGCCCTTCACCGCGTCCTCTACCCCTGGTCGAGGCCGGGTGCTCCCGCCGTCGATCACGGGCACGAGCCGTCTCAGCGAGCTCGTTGCCGGCGGTGTCTACGCCGTCATGGGGACGTACGACGCATCGGCCGAGTGGATGAACCGCCTGTGAAGATGTCCTGCAAGCCATGCTAAGTGATGAACCTGGGGGAGGAGATTATGTGTTGTGGAAATAATGTTGGGTGAGGTTCCAAGGTGGAGTTACGAGTTGGTTTTTTGTTGGAGTGGGGCTGGGGAGGGATTTGTTGTGTGTGGTTGGGTTACAGTACACTACGTGGCAAAATTGCAGTTGCTCAAATGAGCGGTTGGGGTGTTTGTGTCTGATTGTGTGAATTGTTGTTTCTTGGTGGCATAGTAGTTGATCTTCAAAGTGGTAACTACGAACATGCAAACAGAACAAACTACGCTGGTCAACAGTACCAGGGAAACGCCAAGCATGTTACATCTGTGCAAACATACAATCACCTCTACCCTTTGACGAGATTGGCGAGTATAAGCGAAACGCTATTGCCCATTTGAGGAACATTCCGCCCGTCTATCTGGTGTGACTGTAATGAGCATTGACTGTACCTACCTGCTCCTCACAACTCACAACTAGCTAGACCTACGACGACTGTGCCTAGTTAGAGGGGAGGATTCAGTTCAGAGCACTGCCACAGATAGGCTTGAATCCCGCAACCATCTCATGCCAAAAACCAAAACATCTCGTACCACGCCATCCTTATACCACACCTCATAGCACTGCACATCGCCGTACCAAAACTTACAGCACCGCGCAAACCGGTACCACACCATGCAGTTATTTAGGGATTTGGTTGGTCGGTCACCTGTAATTGTAAGGTCGTGTTGCAAGTACGAGATCTTGCCTCCATAAATCGATCCCTGCCTTGATTAAACACTGTAGCGTCTGGTTACCTTACTACAGTAATAACACTGTGCATGAAAGTGAATGCTTGCGAGAGCCGGATCGATCGCTCGACAGTCACGACCGATCGGGGGATTGACGATTAACGACGTGTTGCGAACCACACGGATTGGGATGACCACCCCCCGACCCATCACTTCTAGGAAGGCTGCATCGCGGGTCTAGCCGACCAGGTCGAGCCAACCAGACCCGGTTGGGTCTGCCTGACCCGAGTCGACCAGGTCGGCTCAACCAGCCAGACCCAACCCAATCGAGCTGGAGGAGGTTACCATAGTGGCGAACTTCAGAGTTCTCGCGCAAATGTCGCCTCAAATTCGCCGCACTGAATGATACCCTGTGATATCGATGCGAATTTTCCAGCTCACCATCCCCCCGCCCGAGAACTGCTTTCCTGGTCCCTCGAGGATCATGGAAATCGACGGGAAATTCCGTGATTTCCCGAGTCGCGTTTTCGAAGATCTGGTCGGGTTGGGTTAGCCGACCAGGTCGAGCCGACCCAACCCAATCTCTTTGGGTCGCAACACGTCGTTAGCAGTGTGCACGAATGTGTGTAGTTCCATCCCCAAACCAGTTTTCGCGAAGCGCGAAAAAAAAAAAATCGCCGTCGCGGAAGAATCTACCGCGAATTCAACTTGGGCATTAGCGAAAAGTTTGACATGTTGCTGTGCTGTGGCCGCGAAACCCTGCTTTGTCGCAATACCAAGGGTGCTGATGTGCTTCGGCGATCATGGCACACCAGAAAAATCTTATTGGCGGATTTATCACGTCGAGGCCCACACACCGAGCCGAGGATCTACTGTCGCGGTTCGGTTTGACGCCTCGATCTTTCGATTTTATCACCTGCAATACGCCCTGACGAGAGAAATTGGTTTCTTGCCTGGCGCCAAATGGCTCCGTTCCACAGGTGCCGAGCTTTCCGCCCAACGCCTCTCAGGCGATGCCCCCGTCACGCAGCTGCCAGCTAGCCGCACCCACCCTTCCGCCCCAGTTTCCCCCCCAAGCTGCCGCGCTGCTGGACGGCGGAGAGTGGACGGAATGTATGGGGAATACAGTGCAAACCGTGGCAACTGAACCACAGGGGGCCTGTAGTTTCGGGGCGACACGGGTGCGATACTCGCTAGTGGCAGAATTTCCTTTCGGATTTGGACGAGCAGAATTTGACATTGAACGACCTCAATACAAGAAGGATAATAAATCTCGTAATATATAATGTAATATACAATATAATCACGAGAAAGATTACTCATTACATACCCAAAGAGCACAATCTCCAATGAAACGCAAGTCTCTGTATTCACACCTGACCTCTGAATCCCTGTCAAGGCGTTCCATATCTTTTACGTTGTCATTCCATTATTTTGACATTGTGTAACACATGCATTGGTGCTGCATTCTCCAAAAAAAATTTACAGAAAACGTACCCCAAACATCTCCCAGTATGGTTAATTCTTAGTCGTAGCTATCTCCTTGCAGAGCTCACGATTTTCACACCAGCACCATCACTACCGCCAACTCCAGCATTCTTTGCAAGCGTGGCCGTTTTGAAAGTTGAGCCAAAATGGCTTTGCAGGCAAAGGATACCTGATTTCCCAAATAGGTTTTATTGTGTTTCTTTACTTGCTTGCTTCACTATTCACTGTTGTTACCACGCCAGGGCCTTTGATTTGTCTCAAATCTGCAGAAGCAGGATTCGGCACTCCTCTCTCCCCCACTCCTTCCTGCCCTTGAGATGCCTGTGTTGGCTCTCCTCCTCCCAGTCCTGCTGCCTTTCCTCCTCCCCCTCCTCTCCCGCCTCCGCTTTCCCTCCTTTCCCCCCCTTCTCCCTCTCCTCCTCCTACCGCTCTCTCTCCTTCACCTCTCTTGCTCCCTCCCCCATCATTCCCTCCCTTTCTTCTATCACTACCCTCCCCTCCCCCTCCCCCGCCATCCCCTCCCCCGCCATCCCCTCCCCCACCAGCACCCACCAATCCCTGCAGTTGCTGCACCTGACTGGCCAGCGCCGCCAGCTGGCGCTGCAGCGACGCCACGTCAACAGTTGCCACATCAGCAGATGCCACCCCAGCAGATGCCACGTCACTGTGCCCCGTGGTGACATTTTTGCGAGCTGGTGACAAGTCAGCTGTAGCTGTTTCCGCACCTTCCTGCCTCCCTCCATCACCCTCACTCCCCTTAACTGCGGATGCCTCTTCTGCCTGAAGCTCCTGCTTCAGGGAAACATGCAAACGCAACACGTGAAGGAAGTAGATGAAATGATGTACCACATCTTTCGATGTTTCCCCCCTCACCCTCACTCTCCTTGACTGCAGATGCTTCTTCTGCCTGAAGCTCCTGCCAGGGAAACATGCGAAAGAAACACGTGTAGGGAGTAGATGAAAACAATCTATCGCATGAGAAGGAGTAGATGTCTCAAGAGTCGCCCCTTCCGCCAACTCACAATCTCACTTCCACTCTCTCTCTCCTTGACTGCAGACGCCTCTTCTGCCTGTAGCACCTGCCTCAAGGAAACACCACAGTGCATCGAAGCACATGAAGGGGCGCTGATGAAGGCCTCACAGGCCGAACCCATCTTTAATCCGCAAGTGCATCGAAGCACATGAAGGGGCGCTGATGAAGGCCTCACAGGCCGAACCCATCTTTAATCCGCAAGTGCATCGAAGCACATGAAGGGGCGCTGATGAAGGCCTCACAGGCCGAACCCATCTTTAATCCGCAAGTGCATCGAAGCACATGAAGGGGCGCTGATGAAGGCCTCACAGGCCGAACCCATCTTTAATCCGCAAGTGCATCGAAGCACATGAAGGGGCGCTGATGAAGGCCTCACAGGCCGAACCCATCTTTAATCCGCAAGTGCATCGAAGCACATGAAGGGGCGCTGATGAAGGCCTCACAGGCCGAACCCATCTTTAATCCGCAAGTGCATCGAAGCACATGAAGGGGCGCTGATGAAGGCCTCACAGGCCGAACCCATCTTTAATCCGCAAGTGCATCGAAGCACATGAAGGGGCGCTGATGAAGGCCTCACAGGCCGAACCCATCTTTAATCCGCAAGTGCATCGAAGCACATGAAGGGGCGCTGATGAAGGCCTCACAGGCCGAACCCATCTTTAATCCGCAAGTGCATCGAAGCACATGAAGGGGCATGGGGCAGAGAGCACGGGAGCACACGAGTATACTTCACGGTTTCCCCCTCTCACTCCCCCTCCAACTGTCACTCCCCTTGACTGTAGATGCGTCTTCTGCCTGTAGAGTGTCGCGTGATTAACACTTAGCTGGCAACTAAGTGTGAATTACACAGCAGCCAAGGTGAGGTGTACTATAGTTTACTGCTTTTTGCATTTTACTTTGTTTGCTCTTTTGGAATGTTACTGTACTATACAGAGTCGAGCTGCTGAGGATTTCGAGGTGGTTGGGGGGGAGGTTGGTGGCGAATTCGATTCCAGCCAGCCTGGGAATTCAATTCGCCATTCACCAGGCTGGAAGGCGGTGCATGCCTAGTGGGCCGAGTGGGACCCAGCTAGCACCTTGAAGCCTACGCGATCAGCTCGGCTGACTCGCGCTTAGGAGTAGAGGTAGCTTGCGGGACAAGGCACCTAGGCAGGAGGGGATGTAGACTGGGGTAGCGCTCAGACTCGTTGCTTTTTGCTTGTATGTTTCTCGTTTACTGCAATTGTGATTTCCTAAACCACGGGGAACTAGCAGTAGAGAGGAGCTGAAGCAAATCGGCGGAGCCCTTGCGAGGGAGTTAAGTCTTGTTTCATACAAGCAAAAAGAAGGGTAGTCAGGATTACGATTGTTGAGAGAAGAGGTGGCAGGATCTACTGCCTGGAGTTGCCCACGGTGATGCACCGTGAGGAATGAGTAATTTCGACCGTGAGCTTCACACTCATCAACTGCGCTCTGGACACCGATTCCCGGCGAGGATGATGGAGGGACGTGATCCGCCGGTCAGGATGCCTGGATTTCGGGCGGGCGAAGGAGGGACGATCTCGCGCGGTAACCAAGGCGGGGATCGGGAGGAAGAACGAGGTGTACACGGAGAACAACAGTCGAGCTCTGCATGCGACTCGCCCGCGGAGAGGAGTGGAGGGCGACCTGTGGGGAGTGGATCTCGCCGAGGAAATCCAGATCTGGGAGGAGACGATCAACATGAAGATCGACGAAGTCAGAAGGGAGGGGAAGATCATCGAGAAGAACGGCGGAGTCAGAGAGGAGAAGAAGATCAACGTGAAGAAAGGCGTAGTCTGAGGGGAGGAGACGATCAATCGGTGGAACGACGAAGTCAGCGAGGCAAGGAAGCATATCACGGATTCTCTGCTGGAGGATACGAAGCCATGGAGGCCGGGAGAGCAGGGCGACCTGCAGGGAGTGGAGAAGGAGGGAACACAAGCTGGGGGACAGGCAGGTCGATGAGTACTACACCACCCAAAATTGAGGTACCAGACCGCTTCTCGGGGGCACCCGGAGAGGAGCCCACGCTGAAAAACTACCTGATGATGATTGAAGACATTCGCTACTGCTGGGATAGGGAGCGACTGGATCCTATTGAATTTTTCAGAGGCTTGGGGAGGACTCTCAAAGGAGAGGCGTTGACTCATTACCGCGTGGAGAGGCAGGGGCTGCTGATGCGGAGCAACAGAGGAGATATCTTACCGGCAGATATTACGGACCGTTTCTTGGAAAGCCTGCAGGAGCAGTTCCCGGGGCATTCGGCTGACCGGATGGCGGAGTTTCAAGACTTCAGAAGAGCGCCGGCAGAGTCGATGTTGGCCTACTATAACCGTTTACTGGAGCTGGCAGAGGATATGGGCTGCGTGGAGGAGCGCATCCTAGTGACCAAGTTCGTCAACGGACTGGATGGGGACTTGATACGAGACATGAGAAGCCGACTATACTCCTTGGGGGTACGGGCGAAGCTGCGACAGGTGTACCAGGTGGCGAAAGAAGTGGAGGATGGAAAGAGGTTTTTCGAAGGAATGAGGGGGTCAAGCTCCAGTCGGCCGAGCGAACGTCGGAGGCCTGCTTGGGCAGCGGTGGAAGGGAGACAGGGGGAAGAGGAACGAAGAGAGAGGCCGTCTGAAGATAGACGCAGGTGTTACAAGTGCGGCGAAAAGGGGCACGTGCGGAAGGACTGCGCCATAGACATAGTGTGCGACACATGCAAGATGAAAGGACATTTCAGACGTGACTGCCCCAAGGCACCTATCTGCACCGGGTGTGGGAAAAGGGGGCATACTGAAGACAGGTGCTACAGCAAGGGAGAGAGAATGCGAGGAAAATCGGCAAGGGAGTTACAGTTAGAGAGAGAGGTGGCGAAGCTGAAGGGACAGTTGGAGAAGACTGAGATTAGTGAGGACCCTGAGAAGGCATTGCTGGCTTGGGAGGACGATGAAGAGGAGGAGTATGAGAGAGAGGAGGCAGAGTACGGGGCCATGGCCATACCACCTAGAGACCGAGAGGAGTTGGGGCTGCGCAGCGGCGGGAAGGATGGCAGGACAGAGCAGAAGCAGCCTGAAAGGAGAACCCCTCGGCAACAAGAAGAAAGCCATAAGCCGAGGACGGCTCGACGGCATCCTGAGGAGAGACTCGTCTGCCAACCCACGGCCCTGGTGGTAGAACCTAAGGCAGTGGCTGTCAGGGGCATATTAGTGGAGAACGCCGTGGTGGATACAGGCGCACAGAGTGTCCTGCTGGGAAGGAAGCTGACAGAACAGTTACGGGAGAAAGGGGACTTGGAAATAGTAAACAGAGGCATACTGATCATGACAGCCGAGGGAGGGGCACCAAAGTGGATGCCCTGTACTAAGGACCCCATCGAGATTACTCTGCAGCCGGGAGAGAAGGGAGAAACGACGATAAGAGTGCAATGTGGGCTGACGGAATCGGAGGATTATGATGTTCTGCTGGGGATGGAGCTGCTATTCAAGATAGGTACAACAATTTGTACCTGGCAGGAACAGGTGCTCTACCGCTCGGATTTCTGGATTGAGGGAAAGGAGTTGAGTGAGCTGCCAGTGCGGTTTGTCAAGACAGAACCGAAGAAGGCTTGGAGGGCGGAGGGCATGAGAAGAGAGAGCGTAAGGAGGGGGAGTACCAAAGAGGGCAAGGTCGGAGCTAACCTGAACCAGTATAGCGTTACCTTAGTGGAGCTGTTTGGAGGGCTGGGGGCAGGCTTAGCGGCGGCACTGGAAGCAGGGCTGAAGGTGAAAAGATGGGTGTATGTGGAAATAGACCCGGAGGTGAGGAGGATGGCTTGGAAGCATGCACAGATACTGCAGCAGCGGTACCCAGCTCAACTGGCGAAGGAAGTGATACGGGAGGCCATGCAGAATGAGAAGTGGGATGTGGGACAGCTTACCAAGGAAGACGTGAACCGCTGGGGAAAGGTGGACCTGTTGGTAGCAGGGTGGGAGTGCCAGGGTACTTCCCGAGCGGGGAAGGGAAGAGGAATGCAGGATGACCGCACGGCGATGGTGACAACACTGCTGACGATTATGAGGTGGGCGAGAGAATCTGGCGGGGAATATGCGTACATCCTAGAACATGTGGATATGAGGAGTGATAGCAGGGAGCCGGTCCGAGCCGTACGCGAACTGGTGGAAGCAGAATTGGGAAGGGGAGTGAGTTGTGACGGGGCACAGCTGGGGGCAAGGTGTCATAGAGTGCGGCAGTACTGGCAGAACGTCCTGCCAGAAGGAGAACTGAGGGCGAGATTAGCAAGGGTGGAGAGAGATGAGAGCCGAATCGTGGAAGACATTCTGGAACCAGGGAGAGTGGCCGCCCCAGTGGTAAAGCCAGATCATCCGCGACAGTATCAGTGTAACCGAGTGGGGGAAGCGAGGAGGGCCTGGCCGACACTGGTGGCCTATGCAAAGGCACGGGGATTTGTCGAAGTGGAAGGGACTCCAGGTCCAGGGATGGTGTATGATCACCGTAAGAAAAGATGGGAGGAGCCGACTGCTTTGGAGAGGGAATTAGCCATGGGGTACCTGCCGGGGGCAACTGCAGCAGATGGAGTAGGGGAGGAGGTGCGCAAAGCTGCCTTGGGCCGAGCCATAGACCAGCACTCACTGCGATGGCTAATTAGTGAGATGAGAAAGGGGCCAGCCGAGAAAAAGGGAAAGACGGAAGAGGAGAAGTGCAGGGGCAGCAAGCAGGCTGCTTACGCCGCTGTCAGCAAGCTCACAGACGAGAAGGAGATCAAAACTGCACCACCAGTAGGGACGGAAGCAGAGCCGGGCAAAACCTGGGAGCTGGGGGCAGGTATAGGGGAGCAAGCAGCCGAAGCAATCAGGGAGGTGTTGCAGCAGCATAGGGGCACCTTCGCCTATAACCTGCAGGAATTGGGGAGATACAAGGGGAGAGAGCTGGAGCTGAACCTCACGACTGAGCTACCTACATACCAACGCAGGAGGCGAATGAATGCGGAGGATGCAGCCATCTGCAAGGAGAAATGTGAGGAGTTGCTAGCTGCAGGGATTATTCGCCCGTCAGAATCAAGTTACGCGGCGGCCACGGTGGTGGCTGCTAGGAAGGACATCACGGGAAAGATTCTAGCGAAGCGGATGTGCGGGGATTTTCGGGAGCTGAACAAGATTACAAGCCCAGACAGATACCCTATGCCGACTGCTGAAGACATTTTCGACCGGCTGGAAGGGGCCACCGTCTTTACCACCTTGGACCTGCGGCAGGGCTTCAATCAAATAGGCATTAGAGAAGCAGATAAACGGAAAACAGCATTTCACGGGGTGGACGGTTTGTATGAGTACAACGTTATGCCTTTCGGGCTTCGTAACGCACCAGCAGTGTTCCAGAGAGCCATGGATCAAGTGCTGAAGGGGGTTCCAGCCGCAGCATGCTACATTGATGACGTGTTGATTTACAGCAGCAGCAAAGAACAGCATGTGCAAGATCTGAAGCAGACTCTGGAGGCAATAGCAGCTGCGGGGCTGACGTGTCACCCAGATAAGTGTAAGATAGCGAGGCACACGGTGGCTTACCTGGGGTTTGAAGTGAAGGGCGGTCGGCTGGCCATACAAGAGGCAAAGGTTAAGGTGCTGGAGAACCTGGCAGCGCCAAAGGATAAGACAGGGCTGCGGGCGTTACTCGGCTTCCTGAATTATTACAGGAAGTTTGTGTCAAACTTCAGTCGCCGTGCCTACGTGCTGAACCAGCTGCTGAGGGAAGGGAAGAGCTGGCAATGGGGAGAGGTGGAGGAGGCAGCAAGGCAGGACTTGCTCGAAGCAGTTAGGACAGGGACCTTACTGCAGATACCGAGGGCAGAAGCGCCTTTCATCCTGTACACGGACTGGAGCAGTACGGGAATGGGAGCGGTGCTCTGCCAAGAAATCGAGGGAGAGGAAAGAGTGATAGCCTTTGCCAGCCGAAGCTGCAGCCCATCCGAGGCTAACTACTGCTCATACGAGGGAGAGGGCCTGACGGCAGTGTGGGGAATCACGCATTTCAAGGTATACCTGCAGGGCCGGCACTTCACATTAGTGACTGATCATCAGCCACTGCTATGGTTGATGACTAATCAAGAGCTGACGGGAAGAAACGCTCGATGGGCTATCAAGTTGTTGGGATTTGACTTTGAGATCCGGCACCGACCGGGTAAAACACTGCAGCATGCAGATGGGCTGTCAAGGAACCCACCACCGATGCAGCCGGTAGCGCAGCTGGCGGCCTTAGCCCACACCGTGGCCGTAAGCTGGGGGCAGGAGAAGGTAGAGAAGCGGTTAGCAGATATATGGGAGGACGAGGAGACCATGAGCTGGATCAAAGGGGAGCCACTGGAGGAGGAAGGCGTAAGTGAGAGAGCAAGAGCCAGAGGGCAGCATTACAGATGGTTTCAGGAGCAGCTGCAGCTGAGGACCAGCGAAGGATGGAGGGTAGTGCCGCAGCCGCAAGAGAGGAACAGGATCATGGGGAAGGTGCATGCGAAGCTGGGACATTACGGCATCACCAGGACACGGCAGCTGCTGAGCACCATGTACTGGTGGGCAAGCATGGGGAAGGATGTGGCAGGACTGGTAGCCAGCTGCGAGGCTTGTCAAAGGAATAAAGCAAGGCTGGAAAAGGAGAGGGAGGAGCTGCACTCACTACCGATTCGGGGGTTAGGTTACAGGTGGTCGCTGGACCTGGCAGGAGAGTTACCATTATCAAAAGGAGGGAAGCAGTACATCCTGATCATGGTTGAGCACACGAGCAAATGGGTGGAGGCGCGAGCATTACCAAGCAAGAGTAGCGCACTGATAGCGGACGCATTCGAGGAGTTAGTACTGACCAGGTACGGTGCATGTGGGGAGGTGCTTACCGATCAAGGGACAGAATTTCAAGGGAGCTTTGATGAGCTGCTAGAGGAGATGGGCATTACGCATCGTGTCACCTCAAGGTATCACCCTCAATCGGACGGGCTGACAGAGAGGCTCATACAAACCGTGAAGAAAGGACTTCGGGCCTATGGAGAGACACACAAGAGGAGTTGGGACAGGGATCTCTGGTGGGTGCTTGCGGGATACCGGTTTGCGAAGCAGGCAGCGCTGAAGCATCTGTCCCCGTATCATCTACTGTACGGACGGGACCCGGTGCTACCTGTGGATGCACCGAAGCTGCTCTCGGCGACGATTGAAGCGGACGAGCCGAGCCTGTGGGCGGGATTAGCGGAGAAGAGGGCGAGGTATCTGAAAGAGCTGACTCCAGCTGCCTTGGATAATCTACACGTGGCGCAGCTGAGGGATGCAAGGCGGTACCAGCAGCGCAAAGCAGGAGGGATGGGAGGAAAGAGTCACCAAGTGGAAGCGGGGCAGGAGGTGTACCTGCGCAGGGCTAAGCGAGATACGCTGGACTTAGCTGTGGGACCGGAGCGATGGAGGGTGAAAGAGGTAAGGGAGTCGGGGGTGCTAGTGCTGGAGGATGATCGAGGGGAGTACCTGAAGGAGCATATCACCAACGTGGCCAGGGCGGGAAGGGAGAAGCCTCAGGCATTGGATCCCGTGTCTGGAGCAGCTCGGGTGCGTGCTCAGTCACGGGAGGGGGCAGGGAAGCCTGAGATACGAGGAGGGGATCAGAACAGAGTGATTACATACGCCAGGAGGAAGAAGGGATGAGCCGGTCACCTGGATGAGAGGTGGAGGGAGAGGGAGTGAGGAAGTCAGGCAGGGATGCAAGGGAGAGTGAGAAGGAAGGGACAGCAGAGGGGATTCACGACAGCTGTCGCGTGATTAACACTTAGCTGGCAACTAAGTGTGAATTACACAGCAGCCAAGGTGAGGTGTACTATAGTTTACTGCTTTTTGCATTTTACTTTGTTTGCTCTTTTGGAATGTTACTGTACTATACAGAGTCGAGCTGCTGAGGATTTCGAGGTGGTTGGGGGGGAGGTTGGTGGCGAATTCGATTCCAGCCAGCCTGGGAATTCAATTCGCCATTCACCAGGCTGGAAGGCGGTGCATGCCTAGTGGGCCGAGTGGGACCCAGCTAGCACCTTGAAGCCTACGCGATCAGCTCGGCTGACTCGCGCTTAGGAGTAGAGGTAGCTTGCGGGACAAGGCACCTAGGCAGGAGGGGATGTAGACTGGGGTAGCGCTCAGACTCGTTGCTTTTTGCTTGTATGTTTCTCGTTTACTGCAATTGTGATTTCCTAAACCACGGGGAACTAGCAGTAGAGAGGAGCTGAAGCAAATCGGCGGAGCCCTTGCGAGGGAGTTAAGTCTTGTTTCCAACTGTCACTCCCCCTCCAACTGTCACTCCCCTTGACTGTAGATGCGTCTTCTGCCTGTAGAGGCACATGAAGGGGCATGGGACAGAGAGCACGGGAGCACACGAGTAGACCGCAAGGTTCCCCCCCCCACATCCCTCTCCTTCTCTCTCTCCTTCACTGCAGATTCCTCGTCAGTCTGAAGCTCCTGCAGCAAGGAAACTTTGCAAGGCATAGAAGCACGTAGGGGCATGGGTAGAGGGCACGGGAGCACACGAGTAGACCTCACGGTCTCCCTCCTCATTCTTCCCAACACTCCAACTCTCATTCTCCTTGACTGTGAATGCCTCCTGTGCCTGTAGCTCCTGCAGCAAGGGAACACCGCAAGGCACGTAGAGGCACATGAAGGGGCATGGTTGGAGCATATGGGAGCACAGGAGTATACCTCACCGTCTCCCCTTCACAGTCCCTCCCACACTCACTCCCCTTGACTGCAGATGCCTCTTCCGCCTGTAGCTCCTGCTTCAAGGAAACACCGCGAGGCACATAGAGGCACGTGAAGGGGCATGAGAGCAGAGAGCACGGGAGCACATGAGTAGACCTCACGGTTCCCCCTCCTCATTCCCACTGCCACCCTCACTCTCCTTGACGTTTCGGGCAAGGAAACACCGCAAGGCACAGAAGCAAGTGAAGGGGCAAGGAAACGTGGCAAGGCACATAGAGGCATGTGACGGGGCATGATTGGAGCACATGGGAGCACATGAGAGCACATGAGTAGACCTCAAGGTTCCCCCCCCACACCAACTGCCACTCCACTGTAAATCACTGACATCTCTTCCAAACACACATGCCACACACACTCACTTCTCCCTTCCCACTCACCTTTAGGCCAACACACTCACCTTTTCCTTCCCAGCAAACCCTGCTTTGGGCATTTTGCACAGTCAGATAGTCAAGGGTCCGTTGGCATACTGGCATACCGCGCAATCAGTCAGATAGTCAAGGGTCCGTTCACTAATCGAGTCGATTCAGAAGTCACTTAGTCAAATTACCACCCACTGATATATTCTCACTCATCCCCAGCATTCCCTTTGGAATTCATGACATCCCAAACAGGCCACCCCCCCACACTCAGCGCATAATCACTGCTCTCCTCCCTACTCACCCTTCTCATCCCCAGCAATCCCTTCTAAGTTAATAACATCCCCCCCAAGAACCCACCCCCCCCCCCTTTCGGCATCACTGATACCCCCCCCGCACTCGTGCATTCTGCTTTGGCACACTGCGCGCAGGCAGTCAGATAGTCAAGGGTCCGTTCACTAATTGAGTCGCCTCAGGAGCCACCTAGTCAAATCTCCAGCCATCATAGTAATTTCACTCATCCCCAGCATTCCCTTTTGAATTAACGACATCCCCCCCAACCCATTCTGAAATGCACGGTAGGGTGTATCTCAACTCACACTCGTAAAATCAATGACATCCCCCCCAACCCACCCCCCCACACTCTCCGTTTCCATCCTCACAATCCCTGCTCTGGCATACTGCACAGTCAGATGGTCAAGGAGGGACCGTCCACAATACTATTTTCACTCGTCCCCCCAGCATTCCATTCTCAAATGCACGGTAGGGTGTATCTCAACTCAACTCATATTCCCTTCTGAATCACTGATATCTCCCCCAAACCACCCCCCTACACTCACTTTTGCACTCCATACTGGATCACTGATATCCCCCCCACACCACCCCCCCACAGTCAGAAAGTCAAGCGACCGTCCACTATACCATTCTCTAAACCATCCTTTGAGTCGACTCAGAAACCACCCCCTCCAACACTCACCTTTTCCATCCTTGCAATCTCTGCTTTGGCATATTGCACGGTCAGATACACCGCTGCAAGGGGAGAGGGGGAGAAGGGGAGGGGGGGAGAGGGGGAGAGGGGGAGAGGGGTAGAGGGGGAGGAAGGGGAAAGGTAGGTGTGCTGGGGGGGTTGATGCGGGGATTTTGAGAGGGCAAATCCGGAGATGCTTTGGCACATTGCATGGTCAAACACAAAGCTACGTGTTTGGAGAAGTGTTTTGAGACGTCTCGAAACACTTCTTCAATTCCTGAGATGCTTTCGCATATTGCATGGTCAGATACAAAGCTGCAGGGAGGAGAGTGGGGGAGAGGGGAAGAGGGGGGGAGAGGGGAAGAGGGGGGGAGGAGAAAGTGGGGAGAAAGAGGAAAGGGGGGGAATCTGAAACGAGCGTACCACTCTAATCCTGGACATTACACTCCCTTCACACTCCCTTCACACTCCTTCCACACTCCCTTCACACTCCCTACACACTCCCTACACACGCCCTTCAAAACCATTCTAATCATCGTCACAATCGCGCCTTGGTGCTGGTGTCAGTGATTCTTATGGAGTCCACTTTTGAGTCGACTCAAAAGCAATTGCAGCAAGTTCTACTAGCCGTTCCAGCACTTGGTGCTTGTGCCAGCACTTGGTGCTTGTGCCAGCACTTGGTGCTTGTGACAGTGATTCTTACAGAGTCCATACGCTGCTGCTACTACCAGTGTTTAGACTGAAGGTGGCATGCAAGCAACAATTGCAGAGAGTTCTACTAGCCGTGTCAGCACTTGGTGCTGGTGTCTGTGATTCTTATAGAGACCATACGCTGCTGCTACTACCAGTGCTTATGGCATGAACGAGGCTGTTTATAACGCACCTAGAGGGGGCATGCACGCAACGATCGCCTGCCAGATGTGGAAGTCCCACCTGAGGGGATGGGGGGGAGGCGGGGAGTTGGAGTGGGGAAGGGGGAGGAAGGGGAAAGGAAGGAAGTGGTTATAGGATGAACGAGGCTGCTGATGACGCACCTAACCAAGGCATGCAGGCAGCGATTGCCTGCCAGATGTGGAAGTCCCACCTGGGGGTGGGTGGATAGGAGGAGGGGAGAGGGGAGGAAGGGCGGAGGGAACTGGGTTAGGCCGACAGGGTCTTATAACGCACCTAGAGGGGGCATGCATGCAACGATTGCTGGGCAGATGTGGAAACCCCACCTTTGAGCCGACTCAAAATGAGCCGACTCAAAATGAGCCGACTCAAAATGAGTCGACTCAAAAGCTGGGCAGATGTGGAAGCCCCACCTGTGGGTAGGGTGGGGGATGAGGAAGGGAAGAAAAGCGGACGGATGAGCGAAGAGAATGAAAGGGGGACGGAAAGAGGAGAAAGGAAGAGGGGGAAGGAAAGAGGAGGGGGAAAGGGGGGGGGGGAGGGCGGAAGGAAGGAAGGGGGCGAAGGAGGGATTTCTGAGATGACAGGCATACATGCAAAATGCAGTGCTTGCAGGTCATATGTGGCAGTCACCTCATTGACAGCAGGGAAGACACTGATTGGAGACAGGCATACATGCACAATGCAGTGCTTGCAGGTCATACGTGGCAGTCCAACGTGGAAAGCAGAGGGGATCGGATTGGATTGGATCAAATTGGATTGGATTGGATTGGATCGGATTGGATCGGATTGGATTGGTTTGGATTGGTTTGGTTTGGAGGAAAATCGAGTGGACTGAATTTTGAATTACAGGAGAAATGTGAGGATTGGGGATGAAAGGTGAACTTGGGAATGGAAAAAATCCGTGAGCGGAGGGGGGTGCATGTGAGAGGCGGGAGGTGCATGTGAGAGGCGGGGAGGTGCATGTGAGAGGCGGGAGGTGCATGTGAGAGGCGGGGAGGTGCATGGGAGAGGCGGGGAGGTGCATGGGAGAGGCGGGGAGGTGCATGTGAGAGGCGGGAGGTGCATGTGAGAGGCGGGGAGGTGCATGTGAGAGGCGGGGAGGTGCATGGGAGAGGCGGGGAGGTGCATGGGAGAGGCGGGGAGGTGCATGGGAGAGGCAGGGAGGTGCATGTGAGAGGCGGTAGGTTCATGGGAGAGGCGGGAGGTGCATGGGAGAGGCGGGAGGTGCATGGGAGAGGCGGGAGGTGCATGGGAGAGGCGGGGGGAGGAGAGCATCGGAAAGGGGCCAGCATTTGAAAGAATAAGAACAGAGGGGATGGCGGTTTGTTTTTGAGTCGACTCAAAAACCGACGCATCAGGGGGGGAGGTGAGCATCGAAAAAGGGAAAGCATTTGAGAGTATAAGAACAGAGGGGATGGCGGTTAGGAGGTTTGGAGTAGGAGTGGGGGAAGGTAGACAGGAGGTTGGGAGAAGTGGTGGGGGGGAGGAAGAATGGGTTTGGGGGGGTAATCGGGGGAATTTTTGGGGAAGCAGAGGGGAGATTGGGAAGAGAGTGGGGGAGACTGGGGAAGAGGTTGAGGGGGAATCGGGGAGAGGTAAGGGGGGGATTGCGGGAAGACTGGGGGGAGCTGGGGAGAAACTTGGGGAGCAATAGGGGGAAGTTGGGTTGGAGAACTGGAGGAGGAAGGGGGGCCTGGGGGTTTGCAGGCCCCGCCAGTAGGGGAAGATTGGGGGACGAATGGGGGGAGGGGGGGAGGCGGGGAGTGGGTAGGGGTCGGGGTTGGGGGTTTGCAGGCCCTGCCAGTAGGGGAAGATTTGGGGGCGAATGGGGGGAGAAGGGGGGCGGGGAGCGGGTAGGGGTTGGGGGTTTACAAGCCCTGCCCGAGTCGTTTTGGCTTGGGTGGCGACGCCATGACAGTTGAGGAAGATTGGGGGGAGGTGAGGGGGGAAGATTGGGGGGAGGTGAGGGGGGAAGATTGGGGGGAGGTGAGGGGGGAAGATTGGGGGGAGGTGAGGGGGGAAGATTGGGGGGAGGTGAGGGGGGAAGATTGGGGGGAGGTGAGGGGGGAAGATTGGGGGGAGGTGAGGGGGGAAGATTGGGGGGAGGTGAGGGGGGAAGATTGGGGGGAGGTGAGGGGGGAAGATTGGGGGGAGGTGAGGGGGGAAGATTGGGGGGAGGTGAGGGGGGAAGATTGGGGGGAGGTGAGGGGGGAAGATTGGGGGGAGGTGAGGGGGGAAGATTGGGGGGAGGTGAGGGGAAGGTGAGGGGGGAATTGGGGAGGGGGGGGGGCTGTTGTAGAGGAGAGCTGTGGGGAAGACTGGGGAGAGGGGGGGGAGGGGGGAGTCGATAGGGTGGGGGGAACACAGGCCGTACCCGAGTCGCTTCAGCTTGGGTGGCGGCGCCATGAGAATGGGTGGGGGAAAATTTGGGGAGAGGGATTTAGAGCGGCCGTACCCGAGTCGTTTCATCTTGGGTGGCGGCGGCGTGAGAATGTCCGCGGATTGATGGGGGAAGGGAGGTGGAGAAGGAGGGAAGAAGGGTGGAGATGGAGGGAAGAGGGGTGGAGATGGAGGGAAGAGAGGTGGAGCTGGAGGGAAGGGGGGTGGGAAGGGGTAAGGGGAGCGCTTGGCCGTACCCGAGTCGCTTCAGCTTGGGTGGCGGCGCTATGGGAATGTTTGCAGCGACGCCGTGAGAGTAGGGGGGGATGGGGGGGGGAGGGGGGGAGAGGGGAGGGGATTGAGGGGGGGTTTGTGGGGGAAGATTGGAGGGAATTTTGGGGAGAGTTGAGGGGGGGAATGGGGGGGAGGTTGCGGGGAAATTGGGGGGGAGTTTTAGGAGGAGACAAGGGAGAAATAGGGGGAGGGCTTGACAGGACCCGAGTCGCTTCGGTTTGGCTGGCGGCGCCATGAGCATGTCCGCAGCGCGCGATAGTGGGGAAAGATTGGGGAGGGGAGGTGGGGGGGGGGGGGGAGGAGGGGGAGTGGGGGGGGGGTGTTCACCCGAGTCGCTTCGGCTTGGCTGGCGGCGCCATGAGCATGTCCGCAGCGCGCGAGATCGTCAACTTGTCGTGAGACCACCCGTTGATCGCATCGCTGCTGCCAATGCTGCTGACGCTGGCATTGCTGCTGCCGTCTCTGCCGCTGCTGCTCCTGCTGCACCTGCTGCTACTGCTGAATCTCTGCTGAACTTTGCTTCTGAAACCATTATTAACGCTGCTGTTGCTGCTGATCCCCCTGCTGCTAATCAGCCTGCGCAGCTGGGTATTTAGGCTCGGCAATTCGCGCAACTGGCTACTTAAGCTCGATGTAGCGTCAGCTGATTTATAAAGGAAACCCGGGTTTCTTTGAAACGGGGTAGAATGTAAACTAGAGGTGCTGAGGGCGGTCGATGGGAAAGAGTGATTCACGGACGACTGGATCGACGGTGGAGATCCGTCAAACGACGACGAAATGCGAGACCAGATGTGTCGCCAAGTAGCACGTCGCATGGCGACACATCTGCGACTGCTTAGACGTCACACGTGGCTCGGTGGGAGGCTGCCTTAGAAATGAGGACCAGAGCCAGAAGGCTGGAAGTGACTATCTTGCAACGTAGATTTGCTAGTCTTGAAAGTGCATGGAGGTTGCGAACTAAAATGCGCTTGGGTGCAGTGCGGTGGCAGGCCCGTCACTGAGTGCAGCAAGAGCGTTTCACTCGGCAGTTAGCCCAGGAAGTGAGCTGAACCAGAATGATTGTACGCGATTAAGGTATTCACGATTAGCCACAAGGGTGTGACGGACACCTGAAAGATTTCCTTCTAAGATCTTTATTGCAAATTGTACATTATTGTAAAAAATGTTAGAACTAGACAGCGAGTCTTATTGCTAAATTAGCCGCCAAAGCCGTACAGGGTTCTGCCTTGGCGTTTCAACGCATAAACCACATCCATGGCAGTAACCGTCTTTCTCCGCGCGTGCTCCGTGTAAGTCACGGCGTCGCGAATGACATTCTCAAGAAACACCTTCAGCACGCCGCGAGTCTCTTCATAGATTAGACCGCTGATACGCTTGACGCCGCCGCGACGAGCGAGACGCCTGATAGCCGGCTTGGTGATGCCTTGGATGTTATCGCGAAGAACCTTCCTGTGACGCTTCGCGCCTCCTTTTCCGAGGCCCTTGCCTCCCTTGCCGCGTCCCGACATGATGTGTAGATTAACGGCACACGGAGACCTGGTCGATACTTTATCAGAGCTAGCCGAAGACGATGCGACGATGCCTTGGAAGCTCAACTGGACTTCAATGGAGATAAGGTGGTTCTTCAATCTGATAAACTGAAGCAACGACTAGAACGACGGAGCTGAAGTGTGAAAGAACTGGAAGTATGGAATTAAGGGGCGATTCACTGCTCTTTTATTCAGACATTGTGGCCAGGGTAGCTTTGCCAGACCAGAAGAGAGAAACAATGGACGACACGGTGCAGTGCGTTTTGGTGTGGTTTATTGTGGTGAATTGGTGGATTTGCCCAGCCCAGTCTGGTGGTGCTGTGTTTTGTTGAGATGAGTTGGCGCATTGTTCGGTGGTGTTGAAGCTTCTTGGTCGTCGATGAGAAACATTTTGAAAGGCGTATCGACGGATATCCCTAATCCTTGTCGATCCCAAAATTCTGCAATCGCGATATTTGATTGGTTTATAATCCGGACAAGCTGTGTAGAGTTGCACCCGACGAAATAAAGTTCGTACAGTTACCACTCCATGCACGACCGTAAAAGATAGCTGAAGCTTCAATTGACGGTCAAGCGAATCACATGGTTCTTCATCGACGGTTCATAGAAAACGTTTCGATCTGTCACCCAGCTTCTCATTGGCTAACTTTGAAAGCACAATCAAACACAAATGTTTCGAGACTTGCAGCAATTCCCAAGAGCTCGTGCACCATGCACGCAGCTCCAGCGACGGACTCTCTTCCCCAACCCAGTCCAAACTCTTGAAATACGTCAGTCCAGCACTAGTCTTCTGTATCTCAAGCGGCCTCTCTCGCATTTCCTAAGTCCGTTAGCTTCCTTATCCAACGTTCGTGACCACCGCTTTTCAGTGCTTCGTCCTGCCGTCACTTCCAAGGCTCTATTTCCTGTCAACCACTTGTTTGTCGATTAACTCTGCGTTATCATGGCGCCAAAGGTAGAAGGGGAGCAGAAGGCGGCGAAGAAGGGACCCAAGAAGGAGCCCGCCGCTAAGAAAGCCGTTCCCGCGGGAAAGAAACCCATCGGCGAGAAGAAAGAGAAGAAAAAGGCTCGCAAGGCCGTCACGGAAACGTACAAGATCTACATCTACAAGGTGCTGAAGCAGGTTCATCCAGACACGGGAATTTCTTCCAAGGCCATGTCGATCATGAACTCCTTTATAAATGATATTTTTGAGAAGCTCGCGACGGAGGCGTCGAAGCTCGCGCGGTACAACAAGAAGCCGACGATCACGTCTCGCGAGATTCAGACGGCAGTTCGGCTGACGCTGCCTGGAGAGCTGGCGAAGCACGCTGTGTCCGAGGGAACAAAAGCCGTGACCAAGTTCACGAGTGCTTAGGCTCCTAGTTTCTTGTTTCTGTCATGTCAAATACTAATTTCTGCTTTCTAGCAATGTTGATAATAGCTAAATAATAAGCTCTTCTCACAAAGGTCACATGCTGGCGATGGCCTGATTCGGTCTGGGCCAGGGCTCATTTAGGGTGTTAGGCCAGGCGGTGGTTGGTTTCGTGACTGATGGTGCCTGAAACCTGAACTGATGGGCTCGTTATGAAGTTGCTCAGTATTCTGAAGCTATGGTTGAAAAGCTGCTCTGCTCCTAACCCTTCTCTTTGCCTCCCTCCTATGGCTCACTGAATACTTTGCGGTAGATAACGGTAGCTCTAGAACACAGGCAACAGGATGTCACAACACCAAAAGTATGGTTCACAACACAATCCCAGGAATTGTCTGCTTTTGAGCAAGCAACTGGATGGGCCCTGCCGAGTCCGCCCCATCAGATGTTTCGAACTTAGGAAACCGTATTTGGCAGAATCAAATATTTTCCCTGCCCAAATATTGTTTGTTAGCAGAATCAAATGGCAACAACAAGCTCCTTGGAATCTAAACTCACAAAAGAATCTTCCAGACGTTCTACACCCCCGCCTTCCCCTGCCTCTCCTTTCCTCCTCCATCTCCTTCATTCCTTAGCCCTACCTGCGCTTTCCCCCTCCCTCCTTGGTCCTCCCCTTTCCTCTTTTCCCTCCTCCCTCACTCCCTCCCCCTTCACTTCCCCCTCCCGCCTGACTCATTTTAAGCAGCTTCGCTTCAAGAGCCTCAATGCGCGCCTCAGCCGCCCTCTGCCGCTCCTCCTCCTCTCCTCTGCCCTCTCCCTTCCTTTGCCCCCCCTCCCCTCCTTGCTGCTTTACCCCTTTGGGTTGCTGGGGGGGAAGAGAAACGGATGGAGAGGTAGCATGTGCCTTCTCTGTTGCTGTTGTTGTTGCTGCTGTTGCTGAAGCAGCAAGTGTAGCAGGACTGATAGCCGATTCTCCTTCAACAGAATCACTTCCAATATAATCACTTCCAGCAGTAACGCTCTCAACTGTAATACTCTCTACAGTCACCTCCACTTCGCCCATTATCACTTCCCCTTCATCCTCCTCTTCCTCTTCTTCCTCCTCTTCCTCCTCCTCTTCCCACTCCTCACCCTCCTCACCCTCCTCCCATTCTCCCTCCTCTTCCTCCTCTTCCTCCCACTCCTGCTCCTCCTCTTTCATCCTCCCTCCTCCCTCCTCTCCTCTCAATTTCCCCTTCACCCCTTCCCCCTCCATAACCCTCCCCTGTCCCCCTCCCCTCTCCCTTACCCCCAATCTCGACACAGTCACACCCTTTTCCTTAACCCTCAGCCTTCCACTCCCTCCAATCCCCCCTCCACCCCCCACCTCCCCTTCCCTCCCTCCTGCCGCCATATCTCTTAGAACCTTCCTCTTAATCTCCTCCACCCGCGCCCTTAGCTCCTTATCCTCCCTTAACCTCTGCAACCATGCTTCTTTCTTCTCCTGCAAATTCCTCTCCTGCAAACTCCCTTTTCCTGCAACAACCGCTTTCCCCTGCAGTCCATTCTCCCTACTAGTCATCTTACCGCCCTTACTCCCTTCAACCAGTTCTTCCTGATCCTCCTCCTGATTACCCCCCTTAGTCCCTTGCACTTCATAGCTTCTGGGAGGCGTGTCTCCCTTCTTTCCAGCAGGCGTCTCTTCCCGACCCTCCTCTTTCCGATCCTCCTCTTCCCGAACCTCCTCTTCCCGACCCTCCTCTTTCCGATCCTCCTCTTCCCGATCCTCCTCTTCCCGAACCTCCTCTTTCCTCATTGTCTCTCCCCTCCTCATTGTCACATCCTCCCCTTCTTGCCATTCTCTCTCTGCTGCCAACACGCCTGTTTCCACCTCTGCTGCTGCCGCTGGTGCTGCTGCAGCTGTTGCTGCCACTGCTGCCGCTACTGCTGCCGTTGGCACCGCTGCTGCTGTTGCTGCCGTTGTTGCTGCTCTTGCTACGGCTGGAACAGTAGCATCAGTGTTCTTACCAGAAGTGCTCTGAACGGAACTGCTACTAACGGAATTGCTCTTAGCACGGTTGCTTTGCAGCAGAGGCGAATCAGCAGCAGCAGATGCGCCTATGAGCTTGCACGAAACGTCCTTCTCCTTCTGTCCAAACCGGATGGGGGCAGAGCGATTGTACTGCTGCATGAACCTGATGGGGGGGGGAAGAGGAGGGGGGGAGGAGGGGAGAGGGGGAGAGGAGGAGGGGAAGAGGGGAGGGGAGGGGAGAGCGATTCAGCAGCAGAGCCAAGAATGAGCTTGCATGAAACGTCCTTCTCCTTCTGACCAAAGCGGATGGGGGCAGAGCGATTGTACTGCTGCATGAGCCTGATGAGGGGGAGTGGGAGCGAGGGAAACAAGGAAGGGAGAAAATACTCAGGTCGAGAGCCGAGATTGAAGGGGGAATGCATGATGAACCTTATGTGGGGGAGGAAAGGGGAAGGAGAGGGGAGGCGAATAGGTAACTAGCCATGAAGAAATTGGGGGTCTTCCCATGTGCTGCTTTTGAGTCGACTCAAAAGTCACCTTGCTTTTGAGTTGACTCAGAATAGGGAACTAGCCTTGAAGAAATTGGATTGAGGGTCTCCCTATGTGCTTCTGTCCTGCACGGCCCTGGGCGCTGCGATATGTGTGAAGCTCACGGAGTCGGAATGTGCTAGAGGTGGATCCGTGCGTTGCACCGCAATGAACCCATTTGCATACCACTGAGCGGCTGCCATATGCACTTGCAGTGCACATGGGGTCGCGAAGGTGCTAGAGGAGGATTTAGCCTCCATGGGAATGACTACATGCTACCGGCATACCCACACCGACTGTATCCAGTTGCACCGCACTGAACCCATCTGCATACCTTTGAGCCGCTGCCATATCCTTAAAGCCCACCACGGCACTCCCAGTGCACACCGGGTCGCGCGTGCTAGAGAAGGATCCGGTCTCCATGGGAAATACCACATGCTACCACTAGGCCCACACCAACCGCATTGCCTCGCACTAGACCTGATAGCATACCTCTGAGCCGCTGAAATATTCGCAAAAGCCACCACAGCACTCCCAGTGCACACCGGGTCGCGCGTGCTAGAGGATCCGGACTCCATGGGAATTATTTTCAGCAGCCCGGGCTGCCCGTTCCACGCTGCCCGCAAATCCCTGCCGATCTTTTTCTTCTTGGGCAGCCCGGAGACGCGAACCTTGATGGCTGACGATGGGAGGTCCGAGTCTGCTATTGGGAAATTGTGGGTGTGGGGTGGGGGGATAGGAAGGGGGGCAGGGGCGGGGGGTTAAGGGAAAGGAAAGCGGGGGAGGAAAGAGGGCTGCAAATGGTAAACCCGGAACCTAACCAGCAATCCAAACACTTGCATTTTTATGGCTGATGTTGGAAAACTCGAGAATGAGAATTGGAAAAGGGTGGGCTTGTTAGGAGGTTCGTAAGGGGAAGGGGAAAGGGGGGGGGCGGGGAGGGGGGGGGGGTGGGGTGTTACAGGTGAGGTAAAAGGGAGAGGGAGAGGGAGGGGAGTGGAAGAGGGAGAGAGAGGGGGAGGGCGAGAGGGAGAGGGAGAGGGAGAAGGATAGGGAGGAGGAGGGGGAGGGGGAGGCGGGAGGGGGAGAGGGAAAAAGAGAGCGAAGGAGAGAGGGAGAGGGAGAGGGAGAGGGAGAGGGAGAGGGAGAGGGAGAGGGAGAGGGAGAGGGTAAGGGAGAGGGAGAGGGTAAGGGAGAGGGAGAGGGAGAGGGTAAGGGAGAGGGAGAGGGAGAGGGAGAGGGAGAGGGTAAGGAAGAGGGAGAGGGAGAGGGTAAGGAAGAGGGAGAGGGAGAGGGAGAGGGAGAGGGAGAGGGTAAGGAAGAGGGAGAGGGAGAGGGAGAGGGTAAGGAAGAGGGAGAGGGAGAGGGAGAGGGTAAGGAAGAGGGAGAGGGAGAGGGTAAGGAAGAGGGAGAGGGAGAGGGAGAGGGTAAGGAAGAGGGAGAGGGAGAGGGTAAGGAAGAGGGAGAGGGAGAGGGAGAGGGTAAGGAAGAGGGAGAGGGAGAGGGAGAGGGAGAGGGTAAGGGAGAGGGAGAGGGAGAAGCTTAGATACAACAGACTGAGTGATGAAAGGTCGCCGATGATAAACCCTGTACCCAAACCAGCAGCCCAAACAGGACCGCCCAAACCCTCACATGCCCTGAACCCTTCTCGTTACTGGTGCTTTTGAGAATTCTCAAAAAGAGAATAAACACCCGACTCGAGGAGCTTGCGCTCTCAATCGTCCCGGCCGCATCAACGAAACCCAAAACCGACCAAAACCCAAATATACGAGGTCAAAGCCCAAAGCCGACCAACAACTAGGAGGCTAAAACCCGAAACCTTAGACTGGGCAAATCGACAGGACATGGGCAGGGAGGAGGAGCAATAGCCGGGCAAAATAAATAAAAAATGTTGAACAAGGAGAAATTTCTGACCTGTGTTGGCCTTCTTCCCTTTTGCAGGCGAGTCTAACACTCCTTGACTGCTCCTTCCCCTCTTTTCCCCGTGTGACTCCCCTTTCCTCTCACCCGCCTTCTCCCCCGCGCTGCCTCCCGGCTTGTTCCCTCCTCCCGTTGATGCCTCCTGCCCCCTCTGCTGCTCTTTTTCTTCTATCTCCGCTAAGAGCTGATCTTCTAACGACGTATCGTACTGCTTCGACGGATCGATAAACCCCTTGGGCTTTGTCGCCAGCCACCGCTGCATTTCCTCGATGCTTCCGAATTCCAAATCGTTGTCATCCGATTTGTAATTCTTTTCCTTCTTCTGCCCACTCTTCTTGGCACCTTTCTTCGCCTGCCCGCGCGCCGACTTTTCCGAAGCGCTATTACGCGCTACCACCGGGGACGGTACATCTGAGGAAGGCGTTACCGAGGACGGTCCTGTCGAGGACGGTTTTATCGCGTCAGCCCGGCACACACGTGGCAACGCCACCGCATTTCCGGCAAATCTACCGGGAATCGAAAGAGAGGAGACGAGCGAGCATCCATGCGCAAACGAGACGGACGGATGCCTACGAGAATCGGTAGAGACGCACGAGGAGAGGGGTTGACAGGAGGAACGTTGTTGATACGCGGAGCGAGAGGGACCCGCACTTGCGGAAGAGTAATGCCTTGGCACACTTAATCTGCGAGGCGCCTCCAAATCGAACGCACACGGCAGGTTGACAACTTTAATCGAAGCACCTAATACGGTGGTCACTGACGTCATGCTGACACAGGTCAGCGAAAGCCGAGAGCTTTGGAGTAACGAAACGCCTATGCCTTCATAAAAGTCGCGACTCGAAGTCGCGTGCTTCAGACTCCCTCGGAACGAACGAGCTATTTGATGCGGAAATTCCGGAGTCGGGACTTGGAGAGTATAGCGAAGAGCAATTGTTCTTTCAGTTTTATGATTCTCCTCTTCTCTTGGAGAGTAATAGAAGAAACTAGACTGGATGAACAATACCTGAGGGGAAGGAGCTATCCTCCCCTCCCCGCACAAATTCTCTCTTTCGAAACGAAAGCGGTGGCGAACTTTCGCCCACCTCGCATTTGTTCTTTCGTGTTACCACCTCGCGAGGTTCGCCCAGTTGTAGGTGAATGCGCGGAAATCTCAATATCCGTTACGCGGGGAATTGAGTTGGCGTTTAGAAAGCTCTTCGCGCTACGAGTTTAGGAACAGAATTGGCAAGAGTAGAATGCAGCCCCCCTCACCCAACTCCCCCCTGAAGTATCTTCCAAATTCGAAGTCCAATATGTAATCTGGAGATGCACAACAATACCGAGGATACAGTAGTTCATCACAAGCACGCCAACAGAACTCTGATACTGCAGCAAGCAACCTTTGATTCAAGAACATCCTAGGCTACCTCTATTAGAGTGAGGATCTTAGACAGGATAGGAAGTGCTTTGGTAGAGTTGGTAGCGGAAGTCTTGTAAGAACTCAGATCATAGTGAATGTAAATGACCAAGTTGATTAAAAGATACAATACAATGGATATAAATAGTCCTAATCTAGCCGTGTACTCTAAGAGGTACATTCCTTTATTATAACTGTTTTACAAGCATTTCTACAATGACTCTGACTGTTGTACTGCCTTTCTTGTTACCGAGTCGCTGCATGTAACTTGTACGGTTACGCCTGTTGCCATTCCTTGATGGTAAGTCAAGCGTCGGTCCAGATGGTCAACAGTCGCGACAGTTGACTCTTACGACTGTTGACCTTCCTGCCCTCGATACGGGCTGATCCGATACTACGGTTGTTGCTGCTTCGACAAAGTCAGGTGCGATACTGCTGCACCTACGGGAATGCTAAGTATGAATCTCTTCACACTCCGACACTCCCCTTCATTCCTGGAGGTGCGCCACATGGCTTTTGCGAATCACTCCGCATAGGTCCGAGCAGTACTGAAACTTCTGACGTGGCAGTTTCTTCGTGAGGAAATCAGCTGCCATTTCGCCAGTTGGACAGTAGATGAGCTGGACCTTCTCTTTCTCGATTTCGTCCTTCACGAAGAAGTAATGCAGGGCGATGTGTTTCGTGCGGTTGACGAAGCCTGGTTTGTTTGCGATTTTAATTGCGCTCTGGTTGTCGTAGAGTAACTTGAAGGACCCATTCATTGCCGTCTTCGTTTCCTGTAGAAGCTCCGTGAGGTAGAGTCCTTCGCGAACTGCTGCGCTTGCTACGATGGATTCTGCTTCTGCTGACGAAAGGGCGATGAGTTCCTGTTTGTTGGAGTTCCAGGAGATGGTTCCTGCAGGCTCGAGTTTGAAAATGAAGCGTATGTGGGACCTCCTGTTGTCTGCGTCCCCAGCGTGGTCAGCATCCACGTAGCCGGTGAGTTGTAGTGGCGCTGTTAAGTTGGCCTTGTAGGTAAGGCCGACATCAGGCGTAGAGATGAAGTACTGTAAGGCGCGGCGCAGGTCTGCTAGGTTTTCCCCTTCAGGTCGGCGCAGGTACTGGGCGAGCTGGCTGGCGATGTAGGATAAATCAGGGCGACATATGACGGCGGCGAACAGTAGGCATCCGAGCTGCTGCTGATAGAGACGGTGATCAGCTGGTGAGAGCGGAGTAGTGTCGGGCTCGTGGTTAGGCAGAGGAATGCGGAATGGGGTGGTGACGCCGACGGGAGCTATCCCGAATTTCTTAGCTAGGGTCTCGACGTACTTTGCGGCAGAGAGATAAATGGTGTCCGCGGTCTGAGTGATGTTGAGGCCGAGGAATTGAATAACCTCATGGTCGATCGTGACCTCGAGCTTTTCCATAATTTTGCGTTCGTAGCGGTTGAGCAGGTCGTTGTCGTCGCCGGTGTAGAGAAGATCGTCGTCGTAGGCGACAAGCAGGATGAAATGGCCGCGGGATTCGAGGCGGTACATCCCTTGATCGTGGGGAATGTCAGATTTGTATGACATAGCTGTTGTAGGCTATAGTGGGGTAGCACATATGGGGTACAGCTTTCTAGGGTTCTATTTGTACCCAACTTTCACTTAGTCATTTCATTCTCGTTCTAACTTTCTCATGGTATCGAGCAGGTTCCCTAGTGGGAACTGTGCCTAGGGCCCACCACATCGAATCTTTTTTCCTGCCCGGAGCGCGCTCCACCCAAGTCGCGCTCCTCTCTTTCACCTCGTCGAGCCGCCCTAGCGGCCCCGTCGCCCTAGCGGCCCCGTCGCCCTAACGGCCCCATCCGCCTAGCGGCCCCCCGTCGCCTAGCCCTAGGGCCCCGTCGCCTAGCCCTACGGCCCCGGCGCCGCCCTGTCCCGGCCCCGCCGCCCTTCGCAGCGGCCCCGCCGCCCTTCGCTGCGGCCCCGCCGCCCTTCGCTGCGGCCCCGCCGCCCTTCGCTGCGGCCCCGCCGCCCTTCACTGCGGCCCCGCCGCCCTTCTCTGCGGCCCCGCCGCCCTTCGCTGCGGCCCCGCCGCCCCTCTCGCTACGGCCCCGCCGCCTACCGTGCGGCCTCGCCGCCCTTCGCTGCGGCCCCGCCGCCCCTCTCGCTGCGGCCCCGCCGCCTACCGTGCGGCCCCGCCGCCCTTCGCTGCGGCCCCGCCGCCCCCCCTCTCGCTGCGGCCCCGCCGTCTACCTTGCGGCCCCGCCGTCTACCTTGCGGCCCCGCCGCCCTTCACTGCGGCCCTGCCGCCCCTCTTGCTGCGGCCCCACCGCCTACCTTGCGCCCCCCCCGCCCTTCGCTGCGGCCCCGCCGCCCCTCTCACTGCGGCCCCGCCACCTACCTTGCGGCCCCGCCGCCCTACCAGCGGCCCTGCCGCCCTACGCGACCGAGCCGCCCGCACCGCGAAGCAGCCCGAGCCGCCCGCACCGCTAAGCAGCCCGAGCCGCCCGAGCCGCCCAAGTCACCCGAGCCGCCCGAACCGCCCGAGCCGCCCGAGCCGCCCGAACCGCCCGAGCCGCCAGAGCCGCCCGAGCCGCCTGAGCTCCTGTGGAGCCGAGCAGCTGGTGCCGCAGAGCCGCAGTTGCTGCTGAGCAGTCCGAGTCACCCGGGCCGCCGTGTTGCTGAGCTGCTGTACTGCCGAGCTGCCCGACCCGCCCTGTCTGGTGAGAGCAGCGCTTCTGTCACTGCACTGCCCCTGTCCTACAGTTAGTGCTACTACTCTACTGCTGTCATGGCTACCCCCAGTGTTCTCGCTTTTGACGCTGAGGGTCGGGCCATTGACTTTGAGGTCTGGGTAGATGACCTGCAGCTATTCCTACAGTGCGATAGGGCGGACGGTCTCTCTCTCTTTGACCTCACCTCTGGTGCCTCTCCTGCCCCTCCTGCTGATGCTAATGCCACTGTTCGCTCCCAGTGGGCCACACGCGATGCTGCTGCACGTCTTGCTGTGCGTCGCCACCTGCCTACCACTGAGCGCGCACACTTTAGTCAGTACAAGAGTGCTCAGACCTTGTACGACGCTGTATTTGCGCGCTACTCTTCCCCTGCCACTGCTGCACTGAGCAGCCTCATCCTACCGTACCTCTTCCCTGACCTTGCTGCCTTTCCCACAGTCGCTGACCTCATTACGCACCTCCGCACTAGTGACACTCGCTACCGCGCTGCGCTTCCTGCTGAGTTCTGCGCCAAGAACCCCCCCCCCATGTACATCACTCTCTATTACATAGTTGCCTGCCTCCCTGACTCCCTTCGTGTAGTCAGGGACCACTTCCTCTCAGTCTGTCTCACCACTCTCACTGTTGACCTCCTAGAGAAGGCCCTCTTAGCAGCGAAGAAGAGCATAGTCACTGTAGGGGCCTCTCGTGGTGACCCTCGCACCTCCATCTTTCAGGGGTGTTCCCCTTCCCCCCTTTTTCCCTCTGTCGCCTCTGCTGCTGTGGCCGACCTCGTTGGTCTTGAGTCGGTCGGTGCGGCGTCTGCCCCTAGCGGGAGACGCCGCTCTGGCAAGGGCAAGGGGGGCAAGGGCGCGGGTGGAGCCAGCGGGGGTGGTGGAGGTGGCGGTGGAGGCGGCGGAGGGAGTGGGGGTGGCAGTGGGAGTGGTGGCGGGGGTGGAGGTGTCGCTGGCAGCAGTGGAGGCGGCAGCGGCGGAGGCGGGTAGCGGTGGGAGCGGAGGCGGCGGTGGTGGCGGAGGTGGCGGAGGCGGTGGTGGAGGAGGTGGAGCTGGTCGGGGTGGCACTTCACAGCGGAGCAGCTCCAGTGGTGGTCAGCGCCAGCTAGCAGCAGCAGCAGCAGCAGCGTTCTCGGGACATCCCCCCCCCCCTCAGCAGCTCCGTGAGTGGT